TAATCCACCTCCTCATCTTCAGGACCCAGCACGAGGCGGGTTATTCTCAAAATGCATTGAATGAATAATGAGCAACTGGGAAACCTATTTCAACAGCGGCCGAGGTACAACCAGTTTGGGGAAGAGAACCAAAGAGGGAGGGTGGGGGGCCTGTGACTAAACCCCTGCTGAGGGACATCAAGTCACCTCACTTGGTGCTCAGTCCCAGGCCCGGCTTCCCATCAGAGCAAAACCAAATGCAGAGTGATAGAGACCACTCTGCTGAGGTCTTTCCCCAGAGAGCTTGAATGGAAGGCAGGAGACCCAGGCATCTAGCAGGACGGTAGGAGTTGGAGGAGGAATGGAGTTCAGTGACACAGCCACAGCGAAAGAGCACAGAGGCGGGCACAGGCTCCCTGGCTCAGACCCAGGCAGGCGGAGGGGGAGGACTCATTCATCCAGGGCCAACCCAGGAGTGAGACTACTGCTGGCGGCCCGGCCCAGGCCCTGTCTCGAGGCTGGGAGGGGATTTCCTCAGGCTCCCTCCCCTTGGGCTCGGCGGGTGGGAACCTGTCCAGACAATCTTAGTTCGGGGAGGGACCAAGGAGCGCCTGGCAGGGCGGGAGCTGCAGGGCCCCAGAGGCAGCCCCTTGGCCCAGGACGCCTGGAACACGGGGACGCCCCTGCCTCGGCCTCCCGAGGTAAACTGCAGGAGCTGGGAGCGGGTGGAGGGCGTCCCTCCGGGAGAGGAGAGGAGAGGGCGGAAGCGCCGGGGGATAAAAACGTCCCCGAGGCCCAGGGCTGGTGTGGGAAGGAGGCGGACCGTGGCAACTTCCCTCCCAGAGGAGCCTTCTGGAGTGGCAGCTTGGGATTCTGCAACTTTCATTTTAAAAGTTGGCAGCACGTTGGGCCAGGATTCCGGGGGCTGTCTCTGGCTTCTCCCCCAGGGACATGGTGGGGGACCGGATAATGCCATTTCCCTTCCCTGCCCTGGTCGATCACTGGCCTTCTCTCCATCACATTCTCCCAGCAACTTCCCCATCACTTCTGCTCCCCTATTTTTTCTGGCTCCGACTGAGCCAGTCCCCAGCCCTCTTGTGTTGCCCGAGCTCAGCCCCTGCGCTGGGCACTGGATACAACCGCCTGGGGAGGCAGTCTCTCCCTTCTTCCTGCCAGGCGCCTCCCCCACGGTTATTTGTTTCCTTCTTCCTGGTATGGGTATCTGAGAGATTTCATTCATTCATTCCTTTGTTAGTATTCATTTGTTTGTTCGTCAGTGTTTGAGCATGTACCTGGATTCTCTGGGAGGAGGACACACATAATTTCTGCTCTTCCTGGGAATAAGAAAACTGAAATTTATTTCACAAACGTTTAAAGATCAGCTATAAGCCGGTGGGCAGTGTGGCATAGTGGAAAGTTACTTTGGAGTCACAGAGAGACTTGGATTCATATCCCACCTCTTCTGTTCACTTTCTGAGCCTCAGTTTCCTCATCTGTAAAATGGTATCGTTATGAAGAGGACATGAGAGAACACATGTCAAGCACCGAATCGGGTGCCAGATACACAGTGGGGCCTCAATAAACATTTGTGCTCTTCCCTTCTTCTCTGGCCCCCTTCCTGCCCAGCCCCTCCCTAACTGCCACCTCTGCCTCTCTCTAGGCTTATAAAATTATAGAAGATAACACCTGACCTTGAGAGCAATTAGGCAGACTTGTAAACACAGAACTGGGCAGTGAAAGGGGAGGTGGTGGAGGCAGAGGGAGGCTGAGAAGGGGTGGGGCTGGGGCTGAATAGGGAAGGCCCTGCTGCTGGTTTGACATAAGAGGGGGCTGGGACCTTGGCTTCGAGGGAGATGATGTCCCCACCTGGCTCTCTTGCTGTGTTTCTGAATTTGCACACTCACACCGAGCAAATGATGGGAGCTACCAATTCTTAAAACCAACTGTGCTTGGCCTCAGGCTAAGGGCTTTTAAATGCATTATCTCATAGGATCATAACCCCGTTATGATATTATTATTATTCCCATTTTACAGATGAGGAAATGAAGATACAAACAGGCTAAGGGATTTGCCTAAGGTCACCTGGCTAATAAGTAATGGGTCCAGAATTCAAATCCAAGTTAGACCTTAGACTCCATGCTCTTTGTTCAACTCCTTGCTGTCTTTCAAGTTTCTCCATATCAGATAGAACAAAAGGGCATCATTATTCCCCCAACTTTTTAGATACCGCTTCTCACTTCCTGTGCATCTTCTGCTCTGGGCTGCTTCATCCAACTGGGGAGGAGCACATGCCTTCCCTGATTCATTGATTCAATCACTTATTCATACATCCTTCACTTGATCAAGTGCTCTGTTGGTCCCAAGAGGGCAGGGACCATGTCTGTTGGTTCACAGTTGTATAACCAGCACCTAGTGTGTTCCTGGTATAGGAATATTCGATGAATCTTTTGTGAGTAAATGAGTCCAACAAACATTTATTGCTGCATTTCGTGAGCTCCATAATAGGGATTCAAAGATAAATAAAACATCCTCAGAGTTCTCATAGCCACGTGGAGGAGACGGTGATAATACAAAGACAATGGTACCCTAGACAGGAGCAGATGTTGCTGAAGGAACCAAGAGGAACATTTAATTCTACCGTGTCTGCTTTGTTCTCCACTGTACCCAGTGCCTGGCACAATGGCAGGTATGTAAGTAGATGCTCAACAAGGCCTTGTAGAGGATGTATTTAGGTCAGAGTCTTGAAGGATGTGTTAGGACTTCCCCAGGAGAACAAATTGGGGAGGGAAGATATTCTAGCAGAGGGAGATGCTCATGAAAAGGCCTAGTGGAGGGTGGGAGCTGGAATTGCCAGGGGCTCAATATGGCTGGAGTGTATGGTGTATATGGAGGAATGGCAAGAAATGAGAGTGAATACATAGGCAGGGCTCAGGTCATGAGGCCCTTGTGTGCCTTGTTAAGGAACCTAGATTTTACTCCAAGGGCATTGGGTAACTACTGAAGGGATTTAGCAAAGGGAGGCCATGATTTGATTTTTATTTCAGAAGTGTGGCTGATGCATGGGGGTCAAGGAGATGACATCATGTACTCTAGGCCTGACTGGTCCCTACCTGTTTGAGGGAATGAGCCTTCCTTTGTAGGACTTGGATTAGGACTTCCTTTTAGGGCTTCACGATCTTCACGAAGGGCCTCCTGAGCTGTCTGGTGTCCTGATCTACTGGTGCTCTGCCCTCAGCTGTATGCTGGGTTACAGCGAATCTATTCTTCCTTATAAAAGTACTGAAATTTACGGATCATTTACATTTGTAGAATCTGAAGCAAGTTCAGGATATACTGTTTCCTAACTTGCAACCCTTTGTGCTTTCTTATGTAAAAGGGAAAGAGATGGAATTGTAGATAGGGCACCAGGAATTACACCTAGCGAGCTCTGATTTTGCCCAGGGAGTGTGTCGAATATGCCAGTAGCCCTGGAACTAGGGGTACATGGATGTGGAGAGCTTTAGGGAATCAGTTTCCAGATCCTCAAATTCCACAGGTACTCTTTTTAAAAGCAAGCTGCTTGCCTGGATTCTTTTAAAGTCTCCTTTTCAACTCTGTTTTCATTGTTTCTGTTCCCTGGCTTTACTAGATCCACCCTGAATCTTTCTATGGTGCGTTGCTTGGGGATATAAAAACCAAAAGGACGGTTGGCGACTGCTTTGTTCCTGAGAGAGAGCAAGCACAGAGAAATTAGGTAAAATAAACTGAAGGGGCGGTGACTTATGACACTCTTAGTATTTATTTTTTAAAAAAATACCTGTTTAATGCTAATTATGTGCCAGATACTGTTCTAAGGGCTTTACAGATAATAAACTCATTTAATATTCATATCAGATCTATAAAGTAGATACTTATTATCTTCCTTTTACAGATGAGGTTCCCATGGCACCCAGAGGTTTAGTAAGTTGTCCAAGGTCACAGAGCTATTAAGTGGTGAAATCAGGATTTGAACTCCAGCACCATTCCTCTAGAATTTGTGTTCTTAACCATTATGGTACTCTACCTTAAACCCAAAGGCCTTAGCTCTTTAGCTCTGTATTGTCAAATTAGAATTGGGACCTGAGCTGGTTGTCATGGGGATGCAAATGAACTCATTTATAGAAATTTTTAAAACTGAAGGTGGATTTTCTTACAGACAGAAAATGATTCTGGTTTGGCTGATTGGTGTGACAGTGAGGACTGGCTTTGACAATTGCATTATATGGTAGACATTTTCCATAAACTGAATAAGTGAAATCTGTAGCTCCAAGGTTTGGGTGAAAATATACCTAAAGCATGTCTTGAATAAAGCCTATGCCAGAAAATTCTGTCTTGGAACCTATTTTAACTTGTGAAAAATAATTTTAGTTATTAACTTAAAAATGTGTCAAGGGGTCATAGTGTTACCGGCACTGGTCATATCGGTGCGGTAGGGTCCCAGGTTCTTGGTCCACAGACCCAAAAGAATTTGAGAGCGGACACACAGCAGAAGTTTTAACAGAGGAAGATTTATTAGCAAAGTGAAACTACACCCCCAAGGGGAGGGGCGGGCAGGCTCGAGGGAGCATCAATATCAAAGTTGTGGTGGTCAGTGGTTTTGGAATATTGGTCGGGGGGTGGGTGAGGGTCTTGCAACGTGTGCCAATCAGGGCATTGTCTCCACCTTCACGTCGGGAGGGGGAGATTTTTTCCTTACACAGGCATCTCTGGAACTGTCATGGCGGTGATCCCCCATGGGGGGGTCAAAACCACAATGCAAATGAGGGTATAATGAGGCTTGGGTCTACTCTCGGTCAGGGTTGGGGAAAGTCCTACACCTCAGAGAAGTCGTTGCCCAGCAATGAGGATGCTGCACCTGGTGGAGTGACCTTGCTCTCAGCTCATATCTAGCCTCCTGCCTTTCTCAATAGCTTTTTCAAAATTTTTATGGAGATTCATGAGCAAAAAATATGAAGACTTCTGGTGTGTGGCACACATAAACATCACGGGCCATGTGCACCATGGTGGGGACAAGGATCCTGATCAGGTGAGGTGAAAGGACTTGTCCATACGTCAGCAGGGGCAGAACTGGAGCAAAACCAGGGTTTTCTGACGGCTGTAATTTCAGTGATCTCTCTATTACTCCATACTTCCTCCTTCCTTCTTCATTTACTTGATGGTTTATTCAGCAGACACTTACTGAGCACCTACACATGGAGTAAAAAAGAAATATTTCCTACTTTTCTGAGGCTTATATTCTAGTAGAAAGAGATAGACAACAAATAAACAAAGCCAATATTTTTAGATAGCGATAAGTGCTGGGAGCAAATAAATAGGAGAATGCGATAGTGTATATGGGGTGTGAGGAGGGGTGGGCTGCCAGTTCAGATAGGTCAGGAAAGACTTCCTAGTGAGGTGCTCTTTGTTATGAAGGAGCTAGCCTTGTGTGTATGTGTTGGAGTATGTGCGTGTGGGAGGAGTGGAGGAGAAAGGGTTAGGTAGAGGGAACAGCAAGTGCAAAGACCCTGAGGCAGGAGGGAGCTTGGTGTGTTCCTGGGACAGAAAGAAGGCCCTGTGGTTGCAGCACAGAGATGGAGGAGAGTGGTAGGAGCTGAATTCCACAAAGAAGGCAGGAGCTAGGTCATGCAGGACCTTATCAGCCATGGTAAGGATCCTGTATTATCTCGAAGACAACGGGAAACCGTTGAAGGATTTTAAGCAGAGAGTTGATATACTCTGATTTATGGTTGTGTTTTGTTTTGTTTTGGAGGGGGGGCAGGAGTGGAAACAGAGATGGAGACTAATTGGGAGGCTATTTCAGGTGTGGCATCTGCAATCTACTCTATGGAGGGGTAAGAAAATGAACCATGTTAATGAGAAGGCAGAATGGTATGGGATGTCATTCTATCTTCTAGTTCTTTTTTTTTTTTTTTGTGAGGAAGATCAGCCCTGAGCTAACATCCATGCCAATCCTCCTGTTTTTTTGCTCAGGAAGACCGGCCCTGAGCTAACATCTATTGCCAATTCTCCTCCTTTTTGTCCCCCTTTTTCTCCCCAAAGCCCCAGTAGATAGTTGTATGTCATAGCTGCACATCCTTCTAGTTGCTGTAGGTGGGATGCCGCCTCAGCATGGCCAGACAAGTGGTGTGTTGGTGTGCGCATGGGATCTGAACCTGGGCCGCCAGCAGCGGAGCGCACGCACTTAACTGCTCAGCCACGGGGGCCAGCCCCTATCTTCTAGTTCTGATGGGGTATGTTGGTAGCTATTGCTATATACAACAACAATTGCTGTATAACAAATCACCCCAAAGCTTAGTAGCTTAAAAACAACAACCATTTATTTTGTCATGATTCTGTGGGTCTGGACTTGGGGCAGAATTCAGCCGAGCAGTTCCTCTGCTCCATGTGATATCAGCTAGGGTCAATCACTCGCCTATATTCAGTTGGTGGATGAGCTGGTCTGGAAGGTCGAAAAAGGCTTCACTCATAGGTCTGGAATCTTGATGCTCTTCTATGTGGCCTCTCTCCATGTGGGTAGCTCAGCCTTCCTCATAGCATGGTAGCCTCAGGGTAGTCAACCTTCTTATGGTGTCAGGCTTCAAAGAGGGAGCATTCCAAGAGGAACAAAAGTAGGGGCTGCAGATTTCTTAAGGCCTGGCCTTGGAAAGTACCCAATCCTACTTCTGCCATGTATTATTGGTCAAAATCAGTCACAGGGCTGGCCCAGATTCAAGGAGAGGGGAAACAAACCTTACCTCTTAGTGGGAGGAATAGCAAATAATAGGTTTTGCTTTTAATCTACCATACTACGTTTCTGGGAACTGAATAACCATAACCAACTCTGATGATGCTGACCCACTTTTTAATCTAAATCACAGTATACTGTGTTGGAACAATTTATAGGTCTTTATTCCCCATTGAATAGGGAGGGCCTGGAGACAGGAGGTAGTTGGTTTTTTGTTTTTCCCTTGTGTTTCCAGAGCCTAACATATGCAAGGCATTCAGGGAATGCTTTTCCAATGAATGCACATGTCATGTAAGAATTTATTGGTTATCAAACTATAGTGTTCATAAGAATCCCTTGGGGAGCTGTTAAAAAGGCATGCAGATTCCTGGGCAAGACTCGAGCCCAGACCCTCTGAATCTAGATCTCTAGGACAGGAGTTCTTAATCTTAGTTGCACTTTAAAAATACCAGAGCCCAGGCCCAGGGGCTCTGAGTTTATTGATTTGGGGTGAGCTCAGACATCAATACTTTTTTACAATCTCCTCAGACAGTTCTGATGTGTAGCCAAGGTTTAGAACCACTGCCCTAGAATTAGAACCAGCCATCTTCACCTAACTTCCCCCAGATAATTCTGATTTAGGTGGCCTATGATAGGGTAACCAACTGTCCTCTGTTTGCCCAGGACTGTCCTGATTTTAGAATCCCAAGTCCCACATCCCAAGAAATCCCTAGATCCATGCAAACCGGCATAGTTGGTCATTATCAATGGACCACTATTTAAGAATATTGTCAATGAGGCAATGAAAGCCTTTTTGAAAAATATCTACAAATATCTAATGAAAGCAATGATTCTGCCTCCTTTCTTAAGGGACTGCAGGAGTATCATAATGCTATCAGATAAAGCCGACTCCTTGCATTAAGGAGAGTCAGGGTTTCCTTCAGCCCTGTGCTCTGGTGTGCTCGGTCTATTAACCTAGTTAATAGTGTGTCCGTCTTTGGGAATTCTTCCAGACTGTATTCCTCAGTGTACATGAAGCAGTTTTGAAAGCCTGACCATAGTCAATAAGGATGATATGTTGAGGATAGTAAGAGATACAGAATGAAGTTCTTGTGTCTCTACTCCAGTATTATTATTACTGTTATTCATATTATAATAGGGTATAAAGCTATATGTAATATCTTAACAAGCTCTGTGGGGAAGCAGTGTGGCATAGTAGAGAGGCCCAAGATCTAGCCTCAGAAAAATGGGTTTGTGCCCCAGCTTTGCAGTGACTAGGTATGTAATCATGGGTGCCTCTTTTTGCCTTAGTTGTTCATCTGTAAAATGGGAATAATAACGATGACTTCTTCACAGGGCAGCTAGGAGGATCCATTGAAATTGTATAGGTGAAAGTGGTTCTGTAGACTGGGAAGGGGAGGTATCATGATTATCTTTGAATGGGAAAGACACAAGAAATTATTCTGATGAGAGGCCTTGCACACGACCAAGGCCCTAGATCCCCCACCCTGAACCACAGCCACAGTTGTGGGATTCCAGGGAAGGAGGTTTTAACACAGAGTGGGCATGCAGAGACCTCAGGAGGCAGCCTGTCCTTACCTTAGTTGCCCTCACAATTGAGGGCAAGTGTGCTTTGCTTCAGGAAGAAGGGAAACTTGGAAAAGGGGGTTTGTGAAGGCATTTTTTGTTTTTAAATCTTGTGCCTATTTGTTCCATGTGTATCCTCAGAGATGTAGCAAAAAGAAAACAACCACAACCACAAACCCATAATATCGAAAAGCAGTTCTTAATTTCTGTAGCTAAAAAAGCACTCTTTCAGGCTATAACCACAGAGAGATTGCTGCAGGCCTCTGGAACTGGGTGTAATGATGGTTTGCAGTGTGATGAAGGAGGCTGTTAATCTCTGTGGCCCAGAAGCCCAACCTGTGGTCTTTCCAATTACCCAGGTTGCCTAGCAATACCACCAAAAGCCTCCCCACCAGGCCCAGCTGGGCAGTAATTGGGTACACCCAGCACAGCCTGCTGCCCAGCCTCCTGGTTTCCCCTGCCACATCAAGGCTGAACTCAGCCTCTGCAAAGGCCCGCCTGGTACGGATGAATGGGTGGGGCCAGCTGTATAAAAAAACAATTCAGATATTTAAAATCTACTCACTTGAATGCAGCTAGGAAAGCAGCACAAGCTAATGATCAAAAGTCTCTTCTGCCAAAGAGGAGTTGTCCTAAGGTTGGTGGCCTTGGCAGTGCTCTCCTGGGTGAGGTGCGGAAGGGAAGGTGAGCCTGACCTAGTCCTTTGGGTTCTCAGAGAGGCAAATTCTTTTCCTTTCCTAGATGCCTGTCTCCATCTTGACACCCTGTGGCAGCAATAGGAGTGGTGGGGATTCCCAGCCCCATTCTCAGGGCTGGTGACCTGCCAATTCTTCTACAGCTATCATTTGGGAACTCCCAGGGTCTAGTCTGGGTCTGTTTGGGGAGCTGGAGGAAGAAGAGGGAGATTAGGGTAGAGGGAAGGATGGGATGAAAATAATCAAAATAAAGATGTACACTTCTTTAGCACTTGACCTAGAAATCACAGGGCAGAGGAAAATGTGGAGTCTTGTGGAGTCAGGCACCCTGGGCTCCTTTCTCAGCCCTCCCCTCACTGGCTGCACAACCTTGATCAAGTTACTCTGGAAGCCTGAGTTTCCTTATCCATAAAATGGGGATGTTATCCTGCCTTATAAGGTTGTTGTGAAAATTAATGAAAAGAATGTTCATAAAGTGTTTAGCATAGAACCTGGCACACAGTACGTGCTCACTATCATGACAACTTTTATTATTTCATTTGATTCATATAATAATTCTGTAAGATACTGAGGGGAGAGATGGGGCTCTATTTTACAGCTGAGGAAACTGAAGCCCAGTGAAATTAAGTGTGGATGCTGGGAGTAGAACTCGGGTCTTCACAGTGCCAAACACAAGGAATGGTGTTCCTCAAAGATAGGTGACAAGCCCTTTTGTAGTCATTATGGCATGTGGGCTCTGCAGGTCTCCTCTGACAGCTCAGTGATGGCAGAATGATAATGGGAGAGGTGTGCAGAGGAAAAGGGTGGTGGGAGGTGCTTTTCAACACAAAATGATACAAGACTCTTAGTTAATGTGGAGTGGATAGAATTCCGCCCTTCCTCCTTCCTGACAGTATTCTTTCAAATAAACTTTTTATTTTGGAATAGATTTACAGAAAAGTTGCAGAGAGTTTGTTTGTCCTTTACTTAGATACAAGTATCTTCTGAACACCTGCTGTGTGGCAGGAGCTTTCTGGGCACAAGGAATACAGCAGTAAAACTATCTTTGCCTTCCGTTAGAAGATCACAGAGTATGTGAGATGGAGTAGACCTCAGAGATCCTTAGTTTGTGGCTCTCAAGGGTGCTGCTGCCTCCACTTCACTGATATACTTGTCAGAAATCTACTAAGTCTGTTAAATTAGTTTCTTCAGTAGTGGAGCC